GGTCTCGCCGCGGCCAGCTTCGTTACATCCGTGGCTCGGCGATTGGTTATCGCGCGAATTTCCAATCGATGCCGCGAATTAATATTCTCGGGTGTAACTGCTGGTGGTGCAGTCGATAACCTGTCCCTGACGCTCAAGCGGGTGAAGCTGGCGGGAGAGATGCTTTCTCCATCCCCCTGCCTCTCTCTTTCTCTCTCTCTCTCTCTCTTTCGGTTCGAGAGAGCGAGGAGAGCGGAAAGACCGGAGGGAGGGATGCAGGGGCGCCAAGTAAAACTAGGTCACTGGAGCTTCATTCACATTACGCGGCCATTCATGAGATTTGCCAACCGTTTGGCTCGCGAGCTCGCGGTGTGTCTTGCAGTTTTTCCTTCCCCCCCTCACCCCCTAAATTCTCGATCGCTCTTTTCTTCGTTGCCTAATCATCGGCCGATTTTCGCGATCGCCGCGGAGCATTTTTTTTCCGCGGACTTCCGACGCGTCAGCTGAATGAAGTCCCAAGAATGAAGAAGCGGCAGTTTCCTTCCGCAATATTGTTTATCTTTCTTTTCTTACCGTCTTGCAAATTCGTTTCCGAGCTCTGCTTCATCACACACGAAATGTATCTTTAATAATTAATCGACACTAGAAGTCATTCGACTCGGTACTGATTTTTATTTTTACACAAGACGTAAAACTTCTTTGTGACACTCTGTAAAGCTCGCGTTGCTCGCTTGCCATATCGATTTATATTCTATATCGGACTTGATAAACTTACGTTAAATGTGTGTTTCTCTCTAATTTAAATTCTTTTATCACATTATAATATGCAGAAAGTTTGTTTTTTTTTAATTCTCAATTAATAAATTCAAATGCAGATCTAATGGAAAAGGTCAGATTTCTTGTCTCTCGTAAATTAAAAAGTGGTGGTCAATTATTAAAACCAATCTCCTTAAATAACCGAGAGAAATACTGGCGCGTCATATATTTCACGCACTAACAAATGTGATCGAAGAGAGATGACTGAAGAGAGAAAAAACAAGGATTGTGTCAACGATGAGCCAAATATCTAAATAATAAATTTTCTATATTTCTTTGTTTCTCTCAAGTCTTGTGCGAGAGTGGAGCAAATTGAAGAAGAAACGCGCGCGAACGCGATCGTCATTGCGGAGACATTCTCGTGATTATTATTAACGCAATGTATTTGAAGAGCAAACTTCTTCCCGGTGATTTAAAATTTGTCCTCGATTGAGTCAAATCCAACAGTCGAGGGAATTTCTCAATAAACCCTCCGACCTCTCTTCCGGCGATCCTGGGTCCGCCCGACCTAGTTTTCCCCGGGCAATGACGTCGGTGTGACGTCACCGGAGCGCAAACTGGGTCGCGGGGTCGAAGCACCCCATCGACTTCCCGTGGATAGTTGCCCCTTGCTCGGTCGTCCGCGATTTCATTGAAAAAAAAGACCGAGATTAAAATGGTTACTGCCGTCGAAGCTGCTGGACGTTCTTGCATACCTGGCTGTTTGTTTTATTTTACGCGCGCGTCTAAAATCTTACAAAAACGCGAGAGAGAGAGAGAGAGAGAGAGAGAGAAAGAGAGAGAGAGAGAATAATAAGAACGTCAACTTGCGCTTTTCAACTTTAAATTACTTTTTATCGCGCACACACGGTTCTTTGCGCGACATTATCCGACAATGTGACGTCTCTTCCACGAATTTTATCTTCTAAAGATGGGAACTCCAGATTACATTCGCGCGATATCAGATAGGTCATGCGATTTAAATGTCATTTATTAATATGCAAAAATCGATTAGAGATTCTCAAATTGACAGTCAAACTAAAATATTATTATTTTTTTCGGAGCAGAATTGCGCCGAACTTGACGAATTAATCATTTGACAGATTGAAAATCTGTTTGACTCTGATTTCTGATAGAATTTTGAAACTATAATAAATACGATCGCATGAATTGGAATATCCGTCCGGCGAAAACATTCGTATATTTAGCGGCAGAGCCAAAAATTTTTTCATGCCTCGATTACACGATGATGGGTTTCTTTGTAACAAACGTTCCGAGTTTTCGGAAGGTTTCTTTTGCGACAAAGTCCCGGAGAATTTCGATGAGAAACTCGTAGAAACACGCGTGCGAAACAACGGGACGAACGTGTGCGCGCGTGTGTTTGCGATGGAGAAGGCGAAGAGTGAAAATACGATGGGATAGACAGGGGAGGGGGTGGCAGGTCGGTGACGGTTATTTTTGGAATGTGGGTCACCCATAAACCCCGGTTTGTCCCATGACGTCACGGGATCGTCGTCGTGGCAACAGGGACGCAACCGGGTCAGTCACCTCCTGGTTCAGAGAGAGAGAATCCACCCCCTTCCTCTCTCGTCGTTCCCGCACAAGTCCTTTCGCGCGCGCCACATTCAACCCTCATCGTCCTACCCTTCAGGAACTTTACCTGCGATCCCCGCCAATGTGTAAGAGGGAATAGGTTAGAGGTTACGGCACACCGCTGATGCACGCGTCAATAGAACCTGCTGTCTTTTACCCTTTTCCTCCTCTCTGCTTTGCGGCCGTGTGGGTTCGTCTTTTTGCTGCTCGCGTGCACGCATCAGTTGCTCGGAATTTAGGCTCTAATATCAGAGGTGAGCGTCAAGGAGGACGATTACGTTGGGGTTGATCGAACAGCGGTGTGTTCTCTCGACTGAATATAAAATTATGATCTGCGTGTGTATATATGTGTGTCGCGCAGATTTTCTCACAAGGTTACTACAGAGAATATGCGATGCGGAAAATTGTTCCGCTTCTATACATTTCGGTCGCACATTAATTATTTCGAAAACGAGTTTTTTTGGCAAAAAGAAACTCATCGATCTTGCGCGCACGTTAGACCCGTTTGAAACGTTTCAAAGTTCCCATCTAAAATTAATGATCGAATAATCCGACGAACATTTCACTTTGTCACAATCTCGAGTCTGAGAAAAGTTTCGCGGCGAATAGCGTACGCTTTTGAAAAATTAACATTCGACAATTTCGTTTTTACTTCACACACGCAATAGCCGCATGTTAATAAATCCGCAATACACGCGGTGTAACATGCAATTTTTTATCAGACAAGTCGCACCACTGCAATTTGCGTTTCTGTTCCCTCCTTCCCTCCCCCCCCGTGTTTTTAAAAACGTGACTATAATAAAGTCACGTGACTTTAGTCACATGTTGTTTTTTTCTCTCCTCCGCGACTTTACTTTAGTCACGTGTCTTTAAAAACCGAATCGAAATGTCACAGTTTTTGCCAACACACAGAGAAACGGAACGAAGCATGACCGTCTTTACAAACCATGTAACGCACATATGAGAGGTGTCAGAAATAACGCATGAAAATCAAACTCAAAAACTAGAAAGTGAAAGGAGCGAAAAAACAATACAGTATTTAAACGCGATTTTATATCACCAGGAAAACTTGGATTTTTTTTTAAATTTAAAAACTCTCGGACTTCTTTTTATTGAAAAAAAAAAAAAAAACTGTCATGTGGCGCAAACGGCTTTCGCTAAAAGCCGTTCTCGCCATCTCTTCGATCGCACGCGGATTAGCGTCGCGACGTTTTATCCGCCACAACCTCGCAGGAAACTGCATTACCCGCTCTCCGTGAACTGCATCCACGTGTACATTATCGGACGTGATAACGATAAGGTACGTATACTATTTACTGATAATGAAGATCGCCGTGGATATATATACGTTATCTAAAAAGCAAAACGTGCGACGCGACATGTGTCACGTGGCTGACTCTCGGCTGACTTGGTTCTACTTAAACATAAGATAGACTTTTTTTTTTTTTAATTACAGTGAAATTTTTTCGGGAATATCTCGCATGTGAACGCAAAGTGCAATTACTTCTCAACTCTTTGGCGTTCGCTCGCGCGAAAGTAAAAATATAAAAATGTCTTTTGGTTTCAATTAGTTTGCGAGCAACTTTTGCTCACGCGAATAAATAGAGCTCTGATGTAACTTAATATTGCGGAGATGTAATATCGCGCGTAGTTCGTGTGTAACGTGATATCAACATTTGTGTGCAATAATTAAATCAAATTAAAAAGAATCTATTTGCTCTATTTGTAGATTCATACGATCGAAATCCACACGCGCGCGCAATATTAATCAAAACGTATAATTGCAAGAATGAGTCATGAGCGACAGGTTTTGCGGATAATAGAAACGAAACGCTTATATATAGCGCGCGCGCGACTTTCGAGCCAAGAGCTCCATTGAAATTTGACGATGATATTACGCGCCGATATGATTGTGTTACGTCGGAACGTGTCGACGTTTCCGTCACCGTTCCGCGCGTTTTAATGCCAAACAGCTGCGAACGCCAGGAAATTCAGACGGCATCGATAATATCTCAGTTTCGCCTCCTCGAGCGGAACGTTAATAATTTTTACGAGATCTCAGAGAGACGCGCGAGTTCCTCATTGCTTTTTATTCTCGCACATCGCAGTGTGATATTTTTTTTTTTTACTTTTTTTGTACAAATTTGACCGCGCGCGACTGTCGTCGAAATCGCGGAGATATACAAAATGTAACATTTGTGTGAAAATAAAATTGTGTAAAAATAAAAATTGTTTGATTATCAATTACTCGCTTTGTCGTTCTTCTCACCTCGCTCTTATTGTCTCGATTTGAAATCAATGTCGGTTTTAATGAACCGCGAATGTAATTAGCGACGTTTCGAGAGAACGTCGCAAACGAGTTCAAGACCGTTCTGTTCTCATCGCCTCATCAACAGCCGCGCGTATAATACATACAGAATACGAACAGAAGGCAATCCCGTCGACGGGCGAATCCAACAGCGGCTCTGCACCAAGAGCAGCAGCCTCGGCTCCGTTTTCAGTTTCCGATTATTTTTGGCGACAAGCAGAGAGAGAGAGAGCGAGAGAGAAACAGCGGGCAGAGCTCTCGTCTAAAAATGCTTACGACCAATTGCGTGCGGCCATTCGTTGCACCGTGTACCACGTGAACGGCCTACGGTGGAGGTTGCCGACGTCGACTAGATATTTCACAGTTGCACAGTCAGCTGCCTAAGGTCCGGTCGGCTAGTCGCAGCCGCAAGCAAAGCTTTTCTCCACAAGGTAAGCCCTAATTCATACGGGTTCCCGGGTTGGTTTGTCCTCGAGACAACTCTCGGCTGGTTGTCGCATCGCGTGAGTGTCCTGAAAACCGTCGCGTCCCGTCGCCGTTCTCCAGGGAACGAGAACCCGGAGAACCGTCAGAGATAAGAGATGGAAGATACTCGCGATCCGATCCCGCAGGAACGAAGAGTCGTTGACTCTCTCGAAAAAAGGTTTCGATGTTTTCCGAGAAGTTTCTACGTTTTTATCGAGTGTGTCAGTGAGACGAGTGGTTGTAACGGAAGGACTTTTCGAGGTTTTTTTTTTTTTTGTGACGGTTGATCCGTTTCGAGAGAGTCCCGAGAGACAGTGACGGATCGGCGATCATCGGCGCGAGCCGATCGTTCGTCTTTTCGAGGTGACGAGCCGAGTTTTTGAAGGTGATGAACGAGAGATCTCGTCCGATGATCAGTTCAAATTGACTATTGATCGGTCATTTTGCCAACTTATTCGGCAAGCGATGTAAACCTGGATGAATAGATTCTTTTGCAGTCTTTTGACCTCAGTTCGATCTCTAAGAACGGTCATACAATGCACTCGCTCCGGTATCATCGTTTTCAAATTGCTACAGCGCGCGCGCGATCTCTTTCTTGACAATTTATCATCTCGAGGAGAACAGCGTTGTTCTCTCTCTCTCTCTCTCTTTCGTTCTGGCAAAGTTAGTGCAAAACCTTAATGCAAATAGGGTTTCTCGATAATCTCTCATTTCCTCTTTTGAAGCATCTCCTATAGTTTAATGAGATTCAGCGAGACGTCTATTTTTACGATACGACGGGAGTTGCTTCTTTGACATCCGAGACGGTATCGTACGTAAGTCTCTGCGGTAGGATCTCGCGTATCTCGGAATGGTTCGAGCGAAAGAGGAAGTCTATACTTAGCAGAGAGCGATCGTCGTTTCAAATATAAAAGGCGTTTGCGCAAAAAGAGAAGATCCTGATTAATTCGCAATTTTCTCTCAACATTTATCCCATACACAAATCTCTTTCCCATTATCTCGACAAATTTGCACGCTAAGGTCACACCCGTGACGTTAATGTGCAAATAAAAGAAACTGTGGAAACTCAAATTATATATCCTGATTACGCAACGCTCACACTCGGATGTATCGTATTTTAATCGTAAAACGCAGTAATCCCACAAATCGGTATTTGTGAAAAGAATTTTTTTACAACATTGCCACAACTGTTTTATGGAAAAAAAAAAAAATTGAAATAGTTGAATAGTTTTTTTGAAAATTGAAATAGTTTTGATTATATAAATATCTGTTAATTTATACCAATTTGTTGGAAATTATTTTATATATTTTCGTTTCACGTGTTAATTTATTATGACTTTAATAAAATTTTGTCACGTAACTTTTGATCGGAGACGAAGAAGAAATGTGTTACATTCAACAAATGTGAAATACAAACAAAATGCAGTGAAGAATCTTCAACGAAAAAAATACACAAGACGAGAGCTGCGGCGAGTACCGCGTAATGGCATTTCTCTCTTGCATCCTGACCATTGTTCGCGTCGAAACGTTCTGTCGAAACTACATTATTACTTGCGAGCGTAATTATGTTTCTAAGCATTTTCGGAAACGCGGAATGTTCCGGCGACGGAAGAGAAGACGCAATACGTCCATTTGAATTGTTTTCCGAGTTCCAGACAACGAGCGAGACGCACAAGCGTCGCTAAATGCGACGCAATTGTTATCTCCGTAACCGAATTGCACAATTTCGGTTGCGCGCGCGACGCGCTTACGGAAGTTTACCTTATATAAGTTATCTGTTTCGGAACTTTGTGTCGTGTGTGTTCGCCTCGGCTCACACGGCCGAGCCAATGTGTTTTGCCCGCTCTATGCGGTTTCCTTCGAAATGGAAATTCACCGAGTATAAATCCACGCGAGTGTGGATTTCTCGTCTCTAACATTTCCCTTCAGAGTGCTGTGTCTCTCAAGCCGCACGCAAAATGTCATTCGCAAATCAGCGCGACGTTGTCGTCGCGTTGAAATTTCTTCTCTCTTGTTCGCCTCGTCGTTTCGACATTGAATTCGGTGGTTTGAAGCCGCCGATGGCGGGATATCTGCCGGCCTGTTGCATCCAAATTTGGATCGCCGACGTAGCAGCGCCCACCGAAGTGGGGAGAACGCCCGCCGTATCTATTTTCGCGCGCCTCCGGATATTCTATACCGTCGTTGTCGTCGTCGTCGTCGTCGCCGCGTCAATTCGCCGATTTGTTAAACGGCGAGAACTCGACGCGCGTAAATTCGTGCGCCGTCATGATTTATCGATTCTCGAGAGAGGCGAGAGAGAATCGATCGTGTGTTTATCAGAAACAGAGAGACACACGTCTTGACGCGATATTCCTATTGCATTCCCGTTGCTTTCGCACGCGGTCCATCATGGACCGCGTCCGAGAGCGCTTCCATTTTGCCCGACGTGACGTCAATTCGGTCATTATTTTTGTCCGTTTTGTAAACCGGAGTTATATTTTTAATGGACGCGTCTGTTTCTTGTGTACACAATAAACGTATGTGCAAAAACTTTGTACAATATACGAGGCAACTGCAGCGCCCACGCAAAGCGTTTACGGGTCGCAGGTTTCGTCTTGTTTATCGCGCGTTCTCTTACTACGCGCGCGCGTTTCTTTATTTATTTTAACAACTAGAATTCCAATGGTACAACCGCGACTATTAATAGCCGATGTGTGCCGAGTGAGATTTCATCATTGCATATCTCACTTCGCGCGTGCCAATAGAAAAAAAAAACAACTTTGCACTTGATTTTGTTAATTTTTTGTTTTTTTTTCTCTTTTTTGTCAGGTAGACGCGCGTGTGTGTAACAACCACCAGGCATCATCATGGCGGACGATGAGGTTGGGTGAGTATTTAGATCCGAGTCTTTTTTTATGTTATTTTTTTTTTTTAAATTTCTATTTGTTATGCAAAAGAGCACCGAGGAGGGAGAGAGAGAGAGAGAGAGAGAGAGTCGATGGAGTTACAGCATGCACAGTTTTGAACAAGAGAAAAAAAAAAGAGAAACAAAACGCACATCTATCGCGGACGAGTATTGTGTGTGATATTATATTCTCTTTTTTTCATATCGCGCGGATTTTCCCGACGTTGCTGATATCTTCACACTTGGACAACAAAACGCTGGAAACACCACGCGTGTTCTATTGTTGGCCCGCGCAGTAAAATGAGCATTAATATTGAAAGGTACGCATCGTTTTTGTGCGCTTTCTGTGCGATTTCTGATGTGATTTTTGTGATTCCATTATATAGCGTCGTCGTATAGCGTCGACGATAGTGTGTAAAAATCTCGTCAGTAAAAAATATAGACTAGTTTTACTGATTGTTCTCTTACGCGAATTTTCCTCTTTCGGCTCGCATTTTTTTCGGAAACGTGTTAGACCCCCCGAGCTATAAAAGTTTAATTGTTTTACACATTTTAGAGCTCGGTCTCGAATACACGTTTCCGCGAGTCGCCTACCTATTACATACTTCTGTGGGAATATCGGACTCTTGTTACACAAATGTATATTGTAAACCCACAAAGCTTCGATCGTCGAGGACTTCGAACAGACTTCGAGCCTCGGTTTAATTTTTTTCCTTCGTGGCATTTTCAAACACAGCATGGAAGATGCGCGGTCAAGGACGAACCACGCAGTTTTTGCGCGAGAAATATTTACACGTCCTGTAAAAAATGACGAGGCGATCACAGGAGCTCGCTTCTCGTCCAACATCCTTTACTGCACGTCCTTTCCTCCTTTCTCGCGCGGCGAAACTTTACCGACGACGATCCGGTTTCCTCTCAATGTCTCTCGTTTCGCTGATCTTCCATTTGTCATCCGTTTTGTAAACTCAGTTCCGTTTTGTTTCTTTTGGTTTTTGATATTTCGAGGTATCAAATTTCACGCTGAAAAACAAATTTCCCAAGAGATTTCCCATCTCAAGCGAAAAAATTCACAGTTTTCATTGCGGTACAACCTTTAGTCTCGAATTATTAAATAAGCAATTCGCTCTTCGACAAGGACTCTTTGTCCTGACGATTGCGTCATCATTCCCGCGTAATGTCCGCCTCGCGCGAACGACTTTTCTTCGTTTGCGCGCGTACGACGGGACAGAGCCTTCCTTCGTATAATGAAGCCAATTTTCGCGGCGCAAACCGCAAATGTAAAAGTTAATGAAGGTTTTTGGTCCCCGCGCGCGCGCCCGCGCCCGCGCAGAGGGAGACATATATATTCCGCGAATTTCGTCGTAAAATTTCCGCTCTGTAGGAACGGGAAATGGGACCGGTCGTATTACGACCGACATGTCCGTTGTCTCCGTTATATGCTCCGTGTGGCTTCCGACTTTTTTGCCTGATTTATCGTCAAGCGCTCTCGCTCCCTTATTTCGGCATTATTTAACGCGATCTTTTTCCTCCAAGTCGCGCCGCGTCTCTTTGCCATACTTCACTTCTCCCCTTTTCTTGCACAGCTCTCTCGCGAGAGCGAGCTATTTGTCTCTAACTTGTTATCCTCTTCGAGAGGAGCAAAATCTTTTTCACATTTTCAATTGCAGATTCGCGTCCGAGAGAAAACTCTTTTTCTCCCGCTGCTTGATCTATCGATTTCGCGGTGATAAAAACAATTATTTGTATTTTATTTCCCGTGCATTATTTTTCTTATACCGCGCGCGTCTCTTCTTTCCCGTCGTCCGGTTTTCCCACGTCTCTGTTACCACGTCCTCTCCTCATCGCCATTCGAATTCTCGCGTTTCGCTCGCGACGGCACGGTGAGATTAATTTTATTTTCTTTTGAAAAATATTTGATATACTCGTCAACACACAGAGTTGAAATTCGACGCACTCGAATGAGGTAAACGACCATCTTCTTTGCCGGAAGATACCGAAGAACTTCCATTTACTAATTAAAACTGTTATGTATGTGAGCACGGGGTTTTGCAAACGGTTCGTTTAATTTCAAGTCACGTGCGTTGATTTCGAAGCGAGCAATGTCTCTCGTTTGTGCAAACTTTCTATTGATAATTACAGAGAGAAAGAGAGAGAGAGATAGAGAGAGTTTGCATTTTGCTGTATCACTTTAAATATACAATTTGACAGTTATTTTATCGTTTAAATTGTAGAAATGCTAAGCAAGTTCTTGGAGAGTCGTGTTTTCGTTCACATTAAGTTAAGCGCATAAATTCCAAATCTCAGTGATCACATTTGCGATATTCCGCGCCAAAGTTTCGTTACATTCTGTGTATATTATATTAATTTATTAATTTGTATTTTAAACGTGTACCCTCCCTGATGTAAAGAAATTAATTTCTCTCTAGTCGTTGCGAGCGAAAACGATATCTCGTTTGCGCGAATGTAAATTCCCCCTACCTTTTCCCAATTGGACACTCTCACACGTGTAGTAAAACGTTGTAGATTGTGTGTTGTCTCAGGAACGAGCATCGCATAGACAAACACAAAATACTCGAACAGACTGGGGTAAAGTAGATACCAATTTCGCATGAGAAACGCGATTTCAGTAAAAGCGTCCTTTGTGGCGCGCGCTTGCATGCCGCTAACACTTAAGCTTCACTTTGTGAATCTTCTCATTACAAATGCATAAGAGTGTAAAGCACTTACATGAAAGAGTAACGTCACTATGCGCTTTCGCGCACGTGAAGCTTCGAGTGAAGTTTTGCGAAAATTTTCATTTTTTTTTTTTTTTCCGAGAAAAGAACATTTTGAACGAGATCAAGGGTTTTTTTTTTTTGTTGGCACAAGCTTTTCTCCGTGTCTTTTGCGCACCGTCTCGATCGTTAAAAACAATCGAGCACTCGCAATAACAATTAAGTGTCGGAAAACGCCGAGAATATTCGTTCGCTGTTGAGAAGTTTAAACCGCTGCGAAAATCTTTGCTTTGTGTCGTCACGCAATATCGCGTTAATGTCGTCATTTGTCGTTGCTCATTTCGGTATTGTCGATTATATTGCGGAGCTTGAGGAAAAACGCGCGGAGCTAACCTTCAATGCTGTCAATTTGCGCAAAATGACATTTGCAAAATGCTCGCTCTGCTCGTGATGATGATACGCGCCGCGTTGCGTAACGTTGCTTTTAAACGGCGACAAAGTTACATCACTTAAGACAGACTCCATTAGCTCCGCATCGTCATCGTGAAATACGCGAAAACATGGTTCGCTGCACGCTAATGCTTTGTAAGGTATTTCTTGATGGAGCGAAATCTGGAACACCGAAGACGCGCACAATCTCTTCTTCTTCTTCTTCTTCTTCGCCGCCTCTTTTCCCGCGCTCTTTCTGTCACCGAGAAATATCCTTTTACACAGTCGAAGGGATCGCGCGCGCGCGCTGTAAAAAGTGTTCCAGGTATCGCGTGCATGCGAGACTCGGTGACACAGACCGTACTAACGAGAAATTTTCTCTTTCTGTCTTTTATTACAGAGGAAGCGCATCGAGGATGTACGTAAGAGAGGAGGAAGCTAGCTATGAAACGTAGAGTCGCCTCTTAAAGGACGGCCACTTACCAGAGAGGATGAAAGGAAATTCTTTCGTCGAAATAGAGTTTGCGCCCGTTTTATTGCGCCGGGGGATAAAAACCCCCGGTTTTCAAAATATTCCGAATTAGCCGAAGTTAATTTTGCGAATATAATATCCGAGAACTGATTGCATTTTTAGTTTTTTTTTTTTTTTTTTTTTTTATCTACATACGCATGTTGTCGCAAAGTTTTTAACGTTGTTTCTTACTCCCTTCCATGAAGTTTCAATTATCAGACGTACCTAACCCTAACTCTGATCGTTTCCGCGAGTCTCAGTATTATTTTTCTTCCCTTGTTCAAAGAAATTGATATACTAGGCGATTATTCACAAAATTGCAGCAGCTGCAATTCAGTAGTTAAAAAACAAAAAAACAAAAAAAAAAAAAGAAACTCGCGAAAGGGAGTCGGAGCGCGAAAAATGTTAGATGAGTTTGAATTGCGTAACACTTTCCAAATTTCCGCGTCGCACCTTATCCGCGAGGCGCTTCGAGACTTTTTTTCCAGATGAGAATGTTTTAAAGAAGTTTCGCACGAAAAATGCAGGAAAAGAAGAGGAAACAGGCGGAGACCGAAAGAAAGAGGGCGGAGGTCCGCGCCCGTCTCGAAGAGGCTTCCAAAGCCAAGAAGGCGAAGAAGGGTTTCATGACCCCTGACAGGAAGAAGAAGCTTAGGGTAAGTCTGCGCGCACGCGGATAGTTTTCTTGCTTCTTATTCCTCGAATTCCGCTCGTCCCGAACGAGCCGTTGAAGTAACTTGCGGCACATCCTCTTTAAAAACCTTCACGTTGAAGTTTGTGGCGCGCGAGTCTTTCGTCATATTTCACTTCTACGTCAAACAAAACCTGTTCTCTTCAGCTCTCCAGCCCTTCTCTTAACGCCGCGTTGAATCCTCTTCAAAGTAATACGTTTAATATTACATCAATACCATCCTGTCGTGTCTCGAATGTTCATTATCGATAACCGAGTCGGAGTTTTTCGATTTATCTCATTCGCCGCGCACGCCACGGTCTTCTTTTCCAGTAGTAATACCGCAAATAATCCTCTTTGCCTCCCTTTTGTGCCACCGATTTTCTCGCGAAATATTTCTCCTGGCAACGACCACATTCGTTTCCCCATTGCTTTCTTTCTCCTTTCTCTCTCTCTATCTCTCTTTCTTTCTTTTTCTCCTACCGCGACGTGGAGCGCGTCCGAGACTTTTCTACAACTTTATCTCCGTCTTTTTGCCTTCACTTTATGGGCTTGTCTTACGTCCACCCCATTCTGTTCCCATCGTCGCGCAACATCCTGCGGAACCTCTCTCTCTCGTCTATCCAGCTTCCATCCTCCCCCGTCTCGCATTGTGATACATACATATATGAAATTTTCCCATGTATGTGTATGCAGATTACCTCTTGGAGAATCTTTTCGCGTTTGCCTCCGCAGAATGTTATTTTCCCGTAAATCCAACTTCCTTCCTTCCTTCCTTCCTTCCTTCCTTCCTTCCTTCCTTCCTTCCTTCCTTTCTTCCTTCCCTTCTTCCTGTGTCAATATTTACGATTCCCCGAATTTCAACCGGCATTATTCCACCCGAAAGAGAGAAGCGTTTGCCGCAAGTTTAAATTATTTCGTGCGTAAACCAAGAGAGTTGTTCCTCTCCAACGTTGTGCAAGTTGCACCAACCCCGTTCGGCGAGTTTGTAAATAAATCGATTGCTTAAGAACCATGTCGGGCGGTATTTTTTTGTTTTTTTACAAACCTGTGGCAATTCGAGTTGATTTGTTTTTATTATTACACACGACGCGTAAAACAGAATGAATTTCAACATTTTGTGTCAAATTCAAGGTTTTGTTTCGACTTCTCGCTTTTATACGTTATGCAATTATATACGTAATCCGCTCCGTCGCGCGCGATTTAAATTGTTTACAGAGTTTATATGCGAGTTATAACTCGAGCTATTGACGTTCCCGAGAGCAAACTCGCATTTCCATTTAAATTACGTCAATTTTATACCTTACGCGAACCCAGAGAGAAGCAGATGCGTCGACAAAACTACCCCCGTCCCGCTCGAAAAACTATTTTATGCACAATATTTTTTTTTCTCTCTTTCTATGTATAATTGAAATCTCTTACCTTGTGTGTCATCATGTAGTTGCTGTTGCGTAAGAAAGCCGCCGAGGAATTGAAGAAGGAACAGGAGAGAAAAGCAGCCGAGAGAAGACGCATCATCGAGGAGCGTTGTGGAAAACCGAAGAACGTCGACGATGCCAACGAAGGTACGTTACTTTTGCTTCCTTACGTAATCTTGAAGAAAAAAATTATTTATACGCTCTTTTTTGTTACAATTCGATAAAGTTACATCTTCGGATTGAAATGTGCACTTCGCGTATGTTTTTTTTCTCCGAGCGAGACCACGTATGTATCTGAAGCATATCTCGATATCGTTTTGATCTCGGCTAATGAGCAAAGTGCGCACTTCAAAAAGAAAAGTTTTTTTTTGAGAATTTGTGAGAAAATAAGAGTTAAAATTGTTTTTTTTTTTTTTTGTTTTCGACATTTACGTAATAGTTTTCAATCCGACGAGAAATACGTTTGCCGAAAAAACTTTGGATAAAAAAATAGTTTAGTTTTTTAAATACAACAACGCAATATTTTTATTTTTCTCTTCTCAGTTTTTTTCCCCCCTACAGGAAGTTTGCTTATTTCATTTTCCGTCGTTACTCACAGGTCCTTTTACAGATTACCGTTTATTCAATTTTCTTTTCAAAAAAAAAAAAAAAAAATGAGAAAAAGTAAGTATGCGCATCTCAAAGGCCCGATATTTTCGCACGCGATATTTTTTCGAGATTAGATTTTCTTTTTTACACGTTACAAAATCCAATTTCTTCCTATCGTAAAAACGTACACTTCCATCCTTTTTGAGGGAAAGAAAAAAATACACGATATATATATATACATATATAAGAACACCGAAAAAATAAAAAACCCATCGAAGAAACACATTTCGAGCAATCTCAAAACGCGCAAAATTAGGTGAACACTCGTCTGTTTTTTATTTTGTTTTACATATTGCATTTCTGATGAATCACACAGAGACCGTAAAGCGCGTGCTGCGCGAGTACCACAATAGGATCACGGCGTTGGAGGATAAAAAATTTGACATCGAGTATGTTGTTAAGAAGAAGGATTTCGAGGTACTTTTCAGAGAGCAACACACAAGATCGTGTACACGATACTCACTCACGTTACAATAACGATCAATGTTGTTGCACTTGTGTAACGCACAATTCGATCTGCGCCCGGTTACATGCACTTGAAAAAGCGACGACGAGTCACAGTTGAAGTTTTGGCGCGCGGATAGAGAAAATCGCACTATATTTTATAACGCGCTTTATAGTGACAAAAAATCCATTAGCACGAGCTCGACAAGAACAGCACTTAATGATCACATAAGTAAAGCAACGACAAATAAAGTGAAGCAGAAAATGAAAAAGAAACATTTTTAATTTTGCAATATTAAAATATTGATATATTTGTCGAGAAAAGAAACGATAAGACACTTTTTTTGATTTGCTGCACCACTTATAAATGAACGTTCGAATAAATTTTGTCTTTAATTTTCGCGAGAAAGTTACGGGTCCTGTGCTTGCGAGTTTGCTTTGTCGCGGTTGTTCTTCATCAATTGGCGAACTGATGAATAATCGTTATCGAGCAACTTCGTGAATGATTAACGGCTCTTTGTTGAAAACTTGAATTGTTCGTCGTAGCTTTTTCGTCGTTTTGTAGTCCGGGCGGGAGAGAGAGACCACGAGCTTCGCATTATCTCGTCGCACCGTTTTTCCACTCGCACAGTTCTTTCTTTTTCTTTTTATTTTACGTAACACACACATACACACACACACACACACACGACACTGTCGTCGATTTTCTGTCCGCACTATCTGTTTGTTTCTCTTTTTTTTTTTCTTTGCATTAACGTGCGCGCGATTGTTGTCTTCAATCTCTTCTCTTTCTGCTCTCTTTTCTCTACATGGTTTAATCCTGTCACGATTCTCTCTTCAGCGAACTGTTAATGGTGATCTTTGAATTTTTAAACGACTTTGGACTACTCGCATCTTGACTATTGTGTTAATACGGCTTGTTTACTACACCCGCTCCACTCTCTCGCCGCCGTGTATCAGAATAACAGAATAACATCAATGGTTTTTTTTTTTTAAATTTATTTTTGCAACACGTCAGGTGTCCGGTGAGTGATGAATTATTATCACACACTCCGCTTTACGAACCACGCGTGCGCTGTTAATTTTTTATCATTTGCGAAACAACGTTTTTTTTTTCTCTCTCTCTCACTCGCGTCTCATGCTTATTTTATTTGTGAAATATCACACAATCTCTTTGCTATTTTCCCCAACTGCGGCGCGATATTCTCGATCTATCGCCGCGAGTGTCTATGTATACGTATGTATAATCTGTACAACACGTCTGTGTATTCTGTACATATCACTTTGCTCCCCCAACCTCGCCTCCGGATTCGGGATTGTTTCAAATTTTACGGTGACGTTCCGCGCGTCGCTCTCGAAAGTCGTCTCGTTTCGGATGATTCGAGAGCTCGCGCTTTCACCGCACCTTGAAACTTGAGACAGTCTTCGCACCGCTGCGGGACACAGCACACTTTATAACATGTATTTGATAACGTTAGCTTTCACCAAAAATTCACTCCCACACATTCGCTCCCGCCTTCATTGTACAACAACAACAACAACAACAAAAAAGTCAGTAACTGTTGTATCACGCGATTGATCGCGTAGATAATTAAAGTAATTAATTTTTTCGCGAACGAATACTTAGGAAGCCTCTTACTACGTCTCACGCAAGAGAAAGTGTCACAGTTTTCAAAGAAAAATTTATACTTGAATTTCAACAGCCAGCGTCAAGTCCATTCTGAACCAGTATCATAAGAGGATCAACGTTCTCGAGGGGGAGAAGTACGACCTTGAGTACGAAGTCGCCAAGAAGGATATGGAGGTCGAAAACAAAAGTTTCTTTACGTGACAAAACAAAGAGAAAACGCGACGCTACGATTAACAGCCACGTTATCTTTCTGTTCGATTCTGTTTTTCATTTTTCTCTCTTTTTTTTTTTTTTGTTTCACGCGAAGCGCATCTCTCGCTCTATCTATAGCGATGTTCCGATTTGCATTTCACTTTAATCACAAGCTGGTTTCGTAATAATAATAATAATAATAATAATAATAATAATAATAAAACGTAGATACACCGAGGCTGAGTACTTTTCTAGCAGCAACTCTAACGTAGTAATTTTTCCTCGCGACTCGTAGAATCGCTCAAACCAAGTAGATCTATCTCTCAGTTACTTTCTCTGCAGGCGCCATGAGTAGACATGAATTTTGTTCATTTATTTGCGAGTAGACATTACCAGAAAAAAAAACGAAAAAAAAAAAAAATATAAAAAATATCCTTTCAACCCGCTCCTCGTTTCCCTCCCCCTTCCGCCACCCTTCTCCTTGCGATTTCTTTTCCCGTCGAATTCCTTCATTTCCCGCTCGGTTCCCCGTGTCAGGTTAACGATCACGCCAAAGTGTCAGCTTCGTGCTTCTCGCTTCCAACGCGAAAGACTCATTTTTCTTTTCTCACCTTCCCCCGCAATATCATTTTCCTTACGAACACAATCCTTCTGCGATATATGACGACGAGTCGTTACGTAAATGAATGAATCGCGCATTATTTCGAACTCATCTCGTGTAATTTTAATTGCGAGCAATAATTGTTGATACGCCGAAAATAATAACAAATGTGAAATCAATTGTGTAATTTGTTATTATTTTTATCACATTGACGTGCTTTGAATTTTAATAATTGTTTGAACACACATCGTTATCATAGAAAATATTGCACAATTTTCTTCTGTTATACATTGATGAAGCTAACAATATTCCTTAGGGCGAATATAAAAAAAATTTAATGGTCGCAAGTTAAAAGTTTAAGACAGCCGACGGGCAGGGACGACGGAACAGCGGACTTCGTTTCTTTTTTTTCTTTGTTTTCCATTAACACGTTTTGTTCTTTTAGCCGAGCTGCAGACGATCTGTTCGTCATATTGGAACAGAGTGTACTCACTCGAGGGCGATAAGTATGACCTCGAGAGGCAAATTAGGTTGAAACAGTTTGAGGTAATTACCGAATTATCGACTTGCATAAAAAGAAGAGAAAGCCTGTCGCGAGTCAACTTGCATAAAAAAATAATTTTTGTCCAATCCCCCCAACTTGTCCACGTGATTTTTTAACTCTGCCACGTGCTTGACCGAGCGACACCCTTGGTCGAAAGGCGTTCTCGAAGGCGTTTCTGGTCTTGGACACGGGTCTTTCGAACCTTCGGTTCGAGCACGTGCAACATGCACGTCTCTTAGAGATGTAGGGAATTGCCGCGAGATTACAATAAGTTTTTCATGTGCCAACAAACTCTCTCTGAGACTCTGAGGACTACAGTTTTGACGGAACGTGTAACCATCAACTATTAACTCATACTTTTTTGCGACGGACCTGATCGTGAATCGTCTTTTTTTGTTTATGTCTTCGTTTATATTTTTCGCGCGAAGCTAGACTCCGACGAGAAATCGCGGATCGCGAAACAAAATTAATCTCTCGTGTTTATTTCATTTTACTTAAATTTTTTTGCCTTCTTGTTCTGTCGTTTTTCGTTTTGTTTTGTGAGTCACAATATGCGGATTCTTTTACAAATGGAAAAAGAGTAGACGAGCAACGGTAGATAATGTCAGTGACGAACACGTCGTCGAGAGAAACTCGTGGCGAGATACTCCGTCAGCGCGCGTTATCGCGATCGCTTCGAACGGTCTTGCTTCTTTTCCCATTCGTGTCGCCCCCGATCACGTTCGCCGGAATAGACGTGCGAATCGTCGAAGTTTTCGAAGGCTAGTTTTTTTTGGCCGCGCGCCCGACGGGCGCCCCTCCGTACAACATCGTCTCTCCGCGATACAACCGCGTAGGGTCAATGACGGAGTGCGATCACCATTTTCACGGAGAAAGGAGAGGATTTTAGGAGGAGGAGGAGCCCGAGGAAAAACAGCCCCTCTCGATTTTTCCCGATATACCGCGCGCGATTAAACATTCGAGCGCCGCGCGACTTTTATCACCGCGCATGCGGAGCGAGCAAGAGAGAAGAGAGAGAAACTTGCCAATTTACTCGCGAGTCGGCAAGATTTTCGGAAGGTTTGCTTATTGCGGGATCAACGGATCTCCTTCATTGGAATTCCGAGCGCCCCGTTCGCGTTATTAGTATTCAACCCGTGCGGTTTATATTCCCCCGCTAAAATATGTAAAGCTGGATTCAGTTAGGTTCTGTATTGAGCGGGGAAAATTATTGGCATCGCTTTGTGCAAGAATTTCTTTTTTGTTCGTGGGCGTATGATAATGCGATATTTCTGCGTATCTTCCGAGATTGCGTTTGTAAATTTTTTTCCACGCCATGTTTTTCGAAAGTTTATTTTTATTTAAATTTCGCGCGCGTGTAACTTTTTCTTCGTTTATGTAAAAAAAAAAAACAGTCGACGATCTAATTTAAATTATTATTTTCGACGATTTTCGTTGTGACACATCGCGCGAGATCACTCGTCTGTAATCGTCTGTCTCTCGCTCCGCCTGTGCCGCACTGCTGTCAAAAAAAAAAAAAAAGAAAGATTAAAAAATAAAAAAAAAATAAAAAACAAACATATCGAGAAATCAAAGATTTCTGAGAGACTCTCCGTATTCTTTATAGTGGAGTTGAAGCAGATTTGCCAAATGTATCACGACCGCGTCTACCTTTGTGAGGGTCAGAAGTGGGATTTGGAGCGTGAAGTTCGAAAAAGGGACTACGAGGTACAGGAAAAAGTGAAAAAAGCAGCGACAACGGCGAACAATGCGAGGAGAAAGAGAGCAACCGTCAAATCGCACGTCTCTTTTGATCATTTCGATCCCTTTTTCCAACCTCCCACCTTTTCTACGTATCGGACAAGCGACATCAACCTTTGACCATTCTCTCTTGTCCAACCTTTTTCTCTCTCTTTCTCCTGTCTCTCTCTTCGCGTTGTCTCTCGTTCTCCGATCAAAACCCCCTTCTGTACATACGTTGCTCTTCCGATTTGTTGTTCTCTCTCTTTCACGATGTTTTTCTTGGTGGAAAACACTTGCGGCGCGAACGCGATTATCGCTCCGGGCGCGCGAAGAAAAGTTTCCCAACAAAACGCGGAAAGAACCTTCGACGAACGAACATTTTGTCACGCTCTAGATCTTTGTAATCTTGATCAGTCCTGTCTCGATAATGCAACTGACGTGATCCATAAAATCCATATTTTTGAATGTGAATTTTTTGCGAAGAACAAAAAAAAACCAAAAGAACGAAAAACACAAACGTGTCGCGAAAACCGCACGGAAGGAAGTTTTCTTTTTTCGCGCAGACATATGAAGTGCCGCAACGAAGAATATAATTTTTTGTCGCATATTTTTGCTGTATATATTTTTTCTCTCTTTTCCTCTCTTTTTTTTTTTTTTCACCGCGCGTACTTCTCAACCCGCCTGTTTACTTCTCTTACACCGTTTCTCTTCTCGCTGTCTGGCTGTGAACGCACACTGTACATCCACTCGCTCTGTTTTATAACGTGTTTTATTGTCACAAATTTATACACTCTTTTTCTCTCTCTCTGTCTCTCTCTTTTATTATCTAACCATAACGCAAATTTATATTATCTCTCAGCTTTCTACTAACTCGCCAATGAAAATTAAAAAAAAAAAATGAAGCTTTCGAGTCAGGGCTGGGCAAGCTTTACAGAGAAGACGCCGATTATATATATTGTGTGTGTTATCACATATAATCACATAACTACATATATATGTATATAAACTATAAACTGTATCGTACGCGATTACGATTGTTCGCGTGTTGATTCGCGAACGAATTCTGCGTCGGTCAATCCGTGACGTTCGCGTCTCACGCGTTTCCAGAAAAATGATTGTGAAACGAGAAGGGCGCACGATTTTTTTTCGCAGTGATAGAAGCAATTGCCCTGAGATTTGTTGCCAAAAAAATAAAAAAATAAAAAAAATAAAAAAAAAAAGCAACCACGCAATCGACGAAAATACATCACCTACGGGGACCGTTCTAAGAGGATCCCCCCTTTCATCCCTTGGTCTCACGCGAGAACTAAACTGACACTGTGTGCCTGAGACTGCACCGCGCGTGTGCGTGCGTGCGTGCGTGCGTGCGTGCGTGCGTGCGTAAAAATAATGTGCGGTGCAAAATCGGAGAAAAAAATGTGGAAGAAAAAGGGGAAAAATATCGATTGTGCTTTTGCAACGGTGTCTTCATCTTAGATTTTTTTCGTCTTTTGTGTTTCACGTCTCTCTCACACTCACTTTTTTTCTCTCTCTTTCTCTCTCTCTCTCTCTCTCTCTCTCTTTCTTTCTCTCGCTTACTGTATGTCCCGTAATACTCCGCCCGCACAACATGTACATAGGTCCAGATTTGCTTTACCCTCACGCATGCATGGCTTTTCTAACTATTGTTGATAAGATATTGTCGATACGTACATGCGTAACGATCACGCGAGTTAATTAGCGCGTTTCCGGACACGGTAACGGGATTACGTGGGAACGCGAGGTTTTATTATCGTTTCGCGATTAATTTTGGTTTGTAACAGAGAACACTCGAATATCGATCAACCCAATGATGTTTCGGAAATCTAAGTGACTAACAATACGCGCATTTTGCCGTGATAGTCGCTCTCGCGGTCCGAAATCGCGTACACGCCATAATAAATTAATCGCCGTTCGGGAAAGGGAAGCAATCTCGTTTGAATATTATATTCATAGAATGTATTTACAACATGCATATATATCGCGTCATTAAACAATATTTACATAAAGCTTAAAATTGACACACACAGACACGCTGCTTTTTTCGAATTTTTTTTAGAAGAAATTTTTTTTTTTTTTATTCGCACTTGTTTCGAGACAATTTTCGTCGTAACAGCTTTAAAAAGGAAACCGTACGCGGAATAAGCACGTGCGATGACACCAATGATTGACGAAAACGAAATGATGATTGAAGTTTTACAGTCGAATCGACAGCACAAACGCCAGCTTATCGCGCCCCCAACTTCTGTATCAATATTACATCCCGGACGAAAATAAATGCGATTCTAAAATCAATCGATCAAATTTGATTTACGACGGACACACGCCAATCGATCAAATGAATTATGCGATTAATTCGCGCTTCAGTCGCTTTCGCGTGTAAGAGCAAAAAAAAAAAGTTAATTTAACACGATAAGAAGTACACGGCACTTCATATTCGTCGTGAAGAAAGAAACAAATCTCCGCACACACTTTGCGTCTTTTCTGAAAAGTAATGATCGCGAAAATGTTTACAACGACGACATTTTGTTTCGCATGAGAAAATAGAAGAAATAGTTTTTTTTTTTTTTTTTGGTTTGGAAAAATCATTCACGGAAAAGAGAAAACATCTAAGTGTGTCATAAACTACTCTCGTTGCTTTCGGAAAAAAAAAATAAAAGAAAGAAACGTAATCGTTTTGCGATACTCGCAAGATCGCATCGAGAAACGCATTACCTCGACGGTGGATACATTTCATACTCGACAATTCAGTTTTTTTGCACGACTTCGGGAAACGATTATCGTACTCTATATACCACCCCCCCCCCGCGACACTTCCTTCCCCCCTTTCGCGAAAAGTTGTAGAGTTGATTGTCACATCTCCCACTTGCCACGCTTTTCTCTTTTCTCTTCTCTCCACTCTTAACTCTCACAAAGGTGGACTGGCTCGAGAACGAATTAAAAGATCACGAGGCCGGAAGTGCCGTGCTGTGGAAAAATCTTCAGGCCGCAATCCTTCTCTCCTCTTGTTGCTTTTTTTGTTTTTTTGTTTTTTTTTTTCTTTCTTTCTGTTTGTTCGACTGATCGAACCCCCCGCCCGTCCGTTCATTCGATTGACCTTTGTGAGATGGAATAGCGCACATGTGTATATATGGAATTTTTTTCCGATCCATGAGAGAGACGTTGGAGTGAACACGTACAGGCGTCTACGATGTCTAAAGCAAAACGAACTTGATTTTGCACCGACTCGCACGCACAATCACCGTCTGTCAGTGTCCTCTTGTCATGGTGTTCAATTAGGCTGTAAATAGCGGACTTTATACCTCGGCAGAACTCTGTTTTTCTTTCGTCGTAAAAATCCATGTTTTTTTCTCGTAATTTTTATATAACAAAAAAACAAATATATCGCGCGCTAATTCGTCGATATTTACAAAAACTTCGGATTTTACGCGTATTTCTATTAATAACATTATTGATGTATCACAAATTGTCAATAAGTGATGCGTAAATGATTATTCAGCGTTTCAAATGATTTTGATGTTACTCATTGTTGCTTGCCCGTTATTCAGAGATAATTGGAACGTGTGTTTATATAAACGTCGTTGTCAAGCGAATCCAATGCGGCAGCGGCCAATGAAATCGACTGAGTATCGATTTCGCGAGAATCAGGTTTCACGCTTCGAGCGAGAAGAAGAACAGAGCTCTGACAGTCTAGAAAACAGATTTTGTGGTGGATTTTGTAATTTTTTTTCTCATCACCTCATACGGTGCGGACGAGAGAGCTGATCGTGACCAGCCGGTCCCCCGATTGGCCAGAATAAAATTTACGCCCTATCGTATCCAATTCCTCACTTTCTCTATCTCTCTATCTATCTATCTCTCTATTTCTCTTGTCGTTCCTACTCTTTCCATTTCTCGTAGCTTAGAAGAAACAATAATGAACGAAAAAAATTCTCTTCAGCAAGGAAGAGAGAAAATTCGATGTGTGGCTTCCTTCGAATTTTATTTCTGCATATGTTCCAGAAAAAATATTTTGTACATATGTATAGATATATACGTAATATACCATTTATATTTATGTTATATCTGTATGTAAGACAATATCACAAATACTTTCAGAAAACAACGGAGAGACTATACGGTGACTTTACTATAAAAAATATAAAAAATCGACTGCAAATTATAAATGCATTTTTAAACTTGATATATCTCTTGTGATATATAATCCACGTATATGTATGTAAATACAGTTATTCCATAACTTCTGCAACGGATGATGTGCGAACCGAATGAACTTTCGTTCGATTTCTGTGGGTAAACATTTCTGTGTACCATTTGCAAAATCTCCACTGGAACCACCGAACGAAAGTTTAACTTACGGTGTTTTGAACGCGGAAAATTTATATCTTATTCCAACAGTTAATTTTACTTGCAAACAGTATTATATAAAAAAATCTTCCGTTTGTACGGAAATTTTTTTCAATTTCACGGAGATTTTTATTTTTAACAAAGCTCACATTTTTTTTTGTTTTGTTTTGAAAAACGTTCGCAACTTTTTTGTGCGTAAGTCTCATCTGACGGCAATTAGTTTTCTATAACAAGTTTCTGTTGTTCACAAATCCTTCCTATCACCCACCCCTCCTCCCCCTCATTCTTCCGTTATCATTCCGTCGCGGAGACTGCTCCTCCATTCCGCGACTATAGCCGTCATCCGCTATTGCAGTTAATCCGCAAGCCAATTTACTGTCAATCTCGATTCGAGTCGAGTGGCTCGCCAACTGAATATCCGCGCGCTTGCTCAACGTGTGTAACCCTTCTCGCCGTTCTGTTCTATTCTTTGCCTGTGCTTTTGTGTCGCGCAGAGAACGCACGCCAACGCCGATTTGACTCGTTTGTTTTCTATTTTTCGATTAACCGTTTGCGGCTGAATTGTCATTGTCCCTCACGTTTAGAGTTTGATCTAATCCGCATTCTTACACAATGCGTTTCTTTTTTTTTTTTAGCGCGTTATATACATATAAGAATCATATGTTTTTTATCTCTAGTTCAGACTTATAAAATTTGTTTCCTATTTGTTAGAAATAGTGTCAATTATTTATAGAAACGCGAATATATTGCATTGTCAATAAATGATCAATTGCGCAATAGATACATATTTGTTTTACCTCTTTGTAAATAAATGCGCATGCAATAAATTTATATTGCCGTGTCAACTGCACCTGTATGTTAATATGAATATTCGGTACGTGCACAGATCTCGGACTTGAACAGCCAGGTCAACGATCTCCGAGGTAAATTGTAAGTATATTCGCATCACACACATACACACACACACACAATATCTCGGAATCTCGACGCGGTTTCGCGACAAAGAAAATTTTCTTCAGAGTTTTGAAATGTGAAACGTTTTTATCTCATGACACATTCTTTCTGTCTCACAACTCTTCAGCATGAAGCCAACCTTGAAGAAAGTATCCAAGTACGAGAACAAATTCGCCAAGCTCCAAAAGAAAGCCGCCGAGTTCAATTTCCGTAATCAGCTGAAACAAGTCAAGAAGAAGGAATTCACCTTGGAAGAGGAAGATAAGGAGGTAAGGATGATCGTTTTCAATCACGTTCTCGCATCAAAAACAAAACTCTTTCTTTTCTCCGTAAATTTTTGTTTTTGTTTATCTTCACCCGTTTTGAAGATCCAAATATTTGGTTTTTTTTTTTTGGATTTGTCAAGAGACGAGAACAATTTTTTGCGGACAAGTTTACTTCCGCGTTACTTCTTCAATTTTTTTCACTCACTTCTCATCGCTCTCTCTCTATTTTATTTTTTTCATGTATCTAATATTGCGTTTCTGCAAATTTTCTTATTGATACATTCGTTGAAGGTTTTTTTGTGTTTTTGCAAAGGACGCTCATTTTTTTTTTGACACACAGCCACACGACGAGCTCATGTGTAGTAGTGTACATAGCAGGTGTTTCATTTAGAGAAACACAAAAAACTGTTTTTGTGACTCTGGTTTTCTTTTTTGTGTAAAAAAAAAACCCAATTGGCAGGTTTTTCCTCGTATTAGCAATTTTTTTTTTCGATCATTTTGTCACGTCCGATTTGGGAGATACGCGCATTACGCGTCCGAGTTTCCATTTCTGTTGTTGTAATAACGCTCCGGGGGACGCGGAGCGCTATTTTATCAACTAATTTGAAAGCTAAATTTCCCGAAAATCTCGAGCAATGAATAATCGGTGTAGTAATTAATCATCGGCTCATCGAACCGTGGACACTTTCGGTTAAATATACGAGGACGTTGTCATTTCGAGGCCGATGAGTTCATGCAAATTGATTGGTCGCCGAACGGACAATAATTGATGACACGATAGCTCGGGAAAATGGTAGCAATACGTATACACATTTACGATATTTCAGAGCATATTTTTATCTCGCGACGCGCAAACGCGCGATTCTCCCCGAAAAGGACCGTCCGAAACTAAAATCCTTTTTCGTTAAATGTTACGTACATATGTATCTGTACTGGTAGTAGTAGTGTTGGTAGTTGATTAGGCAATTTGTGTTGTTCTTCACAGCCCAAGAAGTCCGAGAAGGCAGAATGGCAGACCAAGAAGTAGAGATTTAATATAAGAAATTAAAAAAAAAAAAAAAAAAAGTTTGAGTGCGAAATGTCGATAAAACAAAAACACAGATTATCACGACACAACAAAAAAAACTTATAAAAATCGAAAAAGTCCAAACACACACCTATACACACATCTCAAAACACAATCGCGATCACTACACACACACATACACACTCGATACACTACACGGCTCGATCGCGATTTCGCGCGCGCGCGAAAATAAGCCGTGCGCGAAAAGGTACACTGGAAAAAAAAAAAAAAAACAATACTTAAAATGCGTGTGAGCGTGTAGAACCACTTTTGATACGATACCGTTTCTATCGACGTCTCGTGTGTTCACCGGCGCGCGTTTTCGCACATGTCACGTTCGTTTAAATTGTTGGCAAACTAGTTCGTTAGCGTTGCGGAACAAATTAACGAGTAAGGACTGAAAATTGCGCGCGAACAATCCTCCGAGAGTTAGACGATATATTTGATTTATATGTGTATTTCCCTACACTTTCGGAAACCAGACAGAGTCAAAACGAGCGACACACACAGAGAAAGAGAAGCTGACTCTACGTAAATATTCATGTTACAACTGTTACATATACATATAAAAAAGCGATAAGTTGTGGCACAATAAACAATTGAAGAAAGCGTACATATACACGTGAATAAGAATCAGATGTTTCCCCTTTTCACTTCCCCGATTGTTTTCTCCGAGCTTTTTGTCACAATACCCGCGTCGTCGCGCACATCGAGCAGATTTCTCATCCTCATTCGCTTCACGTGTTTTTTTTTTCTGTTCTTATTTTTATCGATGTGCTCTCCAAGTTGTTGTAATTTTCCATCTCTCTGGATTTTCCGCGCTATGATGGGATTTTCGTTCTCTTCTTTCGTTTCTGTTTTTTTATTTTTTTTTTTATTTTTATATTGTCTTCGCGCGTGTGGATACGAAACTCGATAACTCGAACTGACCTAATTTTTCCCATTCTTTTCTTCTCTCTGCACAAATGGGGAAACGCGCGACGACAATGTGCGCGAGAACGTTAATGCGATCATTGCGTTGTACATTTTATACAAACTCGGTTTTCGTTTCCGGACGCGCTCGCACTCTCCTCGTGTGATAAGAGAAATTCCTTCAGACGTTACGCGAGCGCGTATTTCAAATATTCGATAAGAAAGAAGGTTGAGTGTTATCGAGGATCGTACTATTTCTTTTTCTCTCTCTCTCTCTTTCTCTTTCGTGAAATTTCTTTAATTCTTCTTTAAAGCGTCGTTTAATTTCTTTTATCTCGCTTTCCTTCGCGTTCCTTCGACATATCACGAAGTCCAAAGTGCTGTTCAATTTGTTTTCGATTTACTATCGAATTTTTTTTGTACATATCTTTGTCTCGTTACCTCCGTTCCTTCATCTCCACTCGACGTGACTTCGCGATAAAAATCTTTTCTTCGGATATCGATAAATTCTTCCCCAACGGGGGAAGCGTTTAAATAAAACAAATCAAAAAAAAAAAAAGTATAAGGTTAAGAGAAATGCTCTCGAAAAGGTGAGAATAGCTTGTGAGAAGTATATTTAAAGCACCACTTTTATTTCGTACATAATGGCAGAAACGCTTTACTCACACACACATGCCTGTCCGTTCGCGCGTTTTTTCTACTCTTTACCATCTAATTATACTGTTGTGCCTTCACGGTTTTTTTTTGTCACGCACATTCGCCTCGTTTATTTTCTTTTTACGCGTGTTGTAATTGCCCGCGCGCACTTTCTCACCCCAAAATCCCACCCGCCGGCAGAATGTTTTGCCGCTATGCAAAATGGTGAAAACAAAAAAAAACCACAATAAAACAAAACTAAGTATAAAAACTGTACAAGCTCGCCTCGAAAAACAAAAAAGAAAACACGCACTCTTTCAAATTACTTTTTGACTCATCGAAGCTCTTTCGCGAAGCTTGCCTTGTCGCCATCAGGTTGGCTGCCATGCTTTCAGACTGTATTACGCGTAGAATTTGTTGCTGTTGTTTTTGTCCACAATCGTGTACGCACATTGAAATCTCGCGAAATGTCTCTCTTTGTTTCCGCTAACTTTGTGATAAAACAAATATATAATTATGATCCAATTTTGCAACAATTTCGATATTTTTGGATGATCAACGTGCGTGATCGATCGTATCACTTGTGACTTACTTAAAAGTGAGCCGCGAACGATACGTTACTTGTTATATATATATATTTAAATGTACTGCTTAATCAGTGTCTACGTCTCTTATCTGTCGACTAATAATGTTGCTCTTGCATATGTTCGCAGAACGCGTCAAAAGATAAGGTAAAACTTTAACAACCAATTTGTGTATAGCTCGGCATGCTAGGAGAGAATGACAATGTGTATGATAGACGAGAGCGCGTAGAATAGTGCGTGCTTGCGTGTGTGAGAAAAACATAGAAAAAATAGGATAAAAGAAAAGCTTTTCCTCGCGCGTTTAACTTGTTTATGTGACAAAACAATAAAATATTCGATGCAAAACTGATCCACGATCATTTTTCGCTTTTGTTTGCCTCACGATGTTCAGACGCACTGCTCCCGGCGTTTTTTTTTTTTTTTTTAAAGCGCGATCAGTTCTTACAATGGTTTTTCTTTTTTTCACTTATTATTTACGTTCTTGATATTTATTTATAGTTGTCACAAAGACTCGCGGCCGTCTTTCGCCGCGCGTTTATCGCTTTCACTAACAATCTCTAGCGGCTCTTCAGACGCTCGGAGACCAAACGATAGTTTGTATTTTTTTTTTGAAAAATGTCGACAGAGAATTTTTTGGTAGCAAAAGGTATGCGGAATTGTGAAACAATTCCGGAGATTGGCGTAATAAAAATTCGCTGATATGATCGTGACGCAATTCACGGCGATTTATCGAATTTTTGTCTAGACATACCCTTGTCGTAGGTTTTTTTTAGCCCTCCCGATCGAATACAGCGCTTGTCTAGCGAAAGTTTTCAAAGATACCCCCTTCACTGCTGCTTGAGCGCGTTCACCCTCGTTCACCGCTAACCACGTTGTGCCCGCGAGTCTAATTTGGAAAAAGCGCGGAATTTCCGTATACAACTAACGCGAGGTTTTCTCGATTTTGCAGAAGAAACCGGACTGGTCGAAGAAGGGCGGGGAGGAAAAGAAGGTAAAGGAGGAAGAGGCGGCGCCACCAACACCGGTGGAGGCATGAGAGAGTTGAAAAGTCTCGTTCGTCGAGAAAACCACACACGGAAAATCGTCCTGTCCGTCGTCGTCAATAACCGCTCGAATAACCAGGAGAACTTCCAAGAACTTCCTCTACACACACGAATATATATTTTTTAACGATCGATTCATTAATTCTATATGTCCCGCTGTCGAGAGCACGCAAAAGTTGTCTCGCCCGTCTGTCTGTTTGTCTGTTTATGTGATCGTACCGTACATCCCGTAGAGAGATTTTGGTAACGAAATTTGTTTTCCGGACCTGTGGTTTACACTCTACTCGTGTCTCTGTCCTATAGTTTTTTTTTGTATGGACGTGATGTATTTTTGTAATGCACAAACCTTTGTAAATCACCGCAAAGTTTACTGTTGCGTGCACAGGAGATACACATGAAAGTAAAATTACTTTTTATCTTCTTTTGCAAATTCTATATAGAATGTGGGGAGAGAGAATTGTAAAAAGAAACAATATTAAGGGGGAAACGTTACTTAAGATTTTATTGTAAAGCAAAATATTTAACGATTTAATCAAAACATCTATGTGTGTGTGTCTGCAATCATTTTCCCATACGTTTTTCCCCTCACGTGTCCTAACGAAATCTAAATTTGTAACGATTTTTGTTTTAACTGATACACGAGTAACTAGAAACTACGTTAACTAAACAATATTTTTTATGTACAGAATAATTATTTTTTATTCTGCTCTGTTATATATTTGTCATCGAATAACGTGATAGAGAGAAATGATTTGACTCTTTATCTTAGTAATTTAAAAAAAAATCTATGATTTTAATAATATCAATTACTCAAAGAATCTAAAGAATCTTAAAAGAATATTAAAAATTTTTATTTTTATTACTTCAAGAGTTTCAATCATTTTTTGTGCTAATACGAAACATTTTTCACGAATATATTTCTGACTGTTAGAGCATAGTCTGATAAGAGAGTATAACATGCCAGATGCCTTTTAATTTGTAGATGAACCAATAAAGCCGGAAATACGGTAGGTATGTCACTAACCGGATTTCGCTTCATAACCATTCGCTATGAGTGACGCTTTCGACACTGCTTGATCACGTTCGCTATGACGACACTCGCTCTTATCTACTTTGACAATTTCGATCTACGGATTCATGGATATGTTCATTTCTCCACCACTTCCGAGAAATAATTATCGTGGCCGAATCACTATTTTCCGAAACGTGTCAAAAAAATATGCATATTGACAATTTCGACGGCGAAACTCGCGACGATAATGTCAAACTTGGATTTTAAGGTCAACGCGAGATTATATAAACGCCGGATGCAAATATATTTCAAACGTGTAAATTAATACGCACGGAAATTCGAATTAAATTCGATTAAGTCGAATTAAATTCAATAATTCATCAAAATGATAATTTCTATCGCGGTTCTTCCTGTCTAGCACAAATGTTAATGAGTTTCGATTAAAATTTAAATAGTACTTTCTATTGATTGCATTTTGTTGTCAGAGAGAGAGATTGTCTGTTTTCTTTTGCACGCAACAATCTCTTTCCCAACAATCTCTCTCCCTGTTTTTATTTCTCACGCGTTATTGTTTCAACGCTCCTAGTCTCGCAGTTTCTTTTATTTCTATTTATATTATTAATTATCGCGCCAATTTGTGTCTCGCGATAATGGGCATTCATATATCCAATTAAACAGCACTTTCAACAAAGTCCCGTTGTATCAACTCGCGGCGGCGTTCGCCCGATTCTCTTCTATCGTTCGATCGCTCGCAACACGTGTCGATTTTCAATCCGCCTGTTTATTTCGCGATTCATCGATCGCTTTCTGAACACGCCGGCGTAAAGCTGTGATCCCCCTCCTTCCTTTCCTCTACCGTTCGACCCACGCGTTCCGCGCATTCAACCGTATTTGTAATCATATCGGATGTCGCGTGCACATTGTTTAATTATCTTGACAATATTCGCGATCATAGTGGCGGAGATGATTTATGACACAAAACGCCCGTCAACGAAGCCAAACGCGGAAAGCGTGTCGTAAGCTCCATGGCCGAATGTTGTATAAAGCATTATCATCGGGTCCGGGACAAATGATGTATCTACAAACGGCGGTTAAATGCTAGTGCATTTGCAAAGCGCGCACGCCGACCGTTAATCACGCAATTTAATACGCGTCGGTCACTGCTCGTCATCGCGACAAACGTTTCACGAAGCTGGATCTCCCCGTTTCGAACACCCCCGGGCAAATATTTTCCACGACTATCCCCCCGCGACGTATGGCAAATTTGTTTCGGTTCTTGCGCGTTAAGTCCTAATGAGACATTTTCTCTCTGTCAGACTGAAATATCTCTTCAATCTTCTTCTTCATCTTCGTCTCTCACTCCCGTAATTTAATTTTTTGACAAAACATGTCTTCAAAATGAATATAGCGTTACAAATTATTTTACGTGCAGGAGGGCGAGCAAGTCGAAGCGGAACCGCCGCCACCAGAACCGACTCCGACGCCGGAACCAGCGCCAGCTCCAGCTCCGCCGGCTCCCGCACCTCCTCCGCCAACCGAACCTACCCCAGCCCCCGCACCGTCACCGATATCTCCACCTGCACCACCAACGACAGAAGGTGCTCCGGCAGTTCCTCCCGCGGAAGGAACTCCGTCGGCGGAAGGAGCAGCGCCTGCACCACCCGCTGGTGAATAACGCGAGTCCGTCGCGTCTAGCAATAGAAAACAAAGTACGCAATTTTGTATATAAAAATTACAGAAGGCGCACCTGCAGCAGAAGGCAGCGCTGCACCACCCGCCGAAGGTGCCGCGCCACCAGCGGAAGGAACTGTCGCACCCTCAGCAGAAGGAGCCGCAGCACCCGCAGAAGGAGCCGCGCCTGCAGCACCCGCGGAAGGAACCGCGCCTCCAGCAGAAGGTGCCGCTCCTCCTGCTGAAGGAGCACCTCCGGCCGAAGGAGCACCTCCAGCCGAAGGAGCACCTCCCGCCGAGGCTGCGCCCGCAGCAGACGGAGCGCCCGCTGCACCCCCGACAGAAGGTTAATTCTAATCCCGATTTTCTTGAATATAGTTAATTATTCCACTTGCATTTCATATTACTTTTTACAAAATACAAACCGCGTTAATAAACGCTAAAAAAACAAGTTCAAATAATGAGATTTTTAATACACATATATCCCCGGCAATAATTAAATATATTCGTAGAGCGCGAAAGCAAATACAAAATTTTCAATGAATAATCGATTAAGTCTCGCCCGCGATAATTTAAAATATCGTTATTTTATGCTGATGTTTTAATATGGAATAATAAATCAAAAGAGTGATATTCCGTATCGAGAGGCAAACTGTAAAAAGCTTTTTTCGCATGCAGCTGAAAGATAAGCCGATCAGTCACTGTCAATTTTATTTTTGCTTATTTTTTTTTTCCAAACTCGCCCAAAAAAATACGGTAGAATGAGATTGTGCTTTGATCTATACGTAATGGATTTGTTAACGGAACTTTTAGTTGCTATGTGAAAAAAATATTTAATTGTTTAGGTGCACCGGCGGAAGGAGCAGCTCCTCCGACGGAAGCAGCAGCTCCTCCGACCGCTGAAGGAGGAGCCGCTCCGGCGGAAGCCGCACCGGCCGCACCCGCCGAAGGAGCACCACCTGCGGACGCGACACCCGCAGCTCCAACGGAAGCCGCACCTGCGCCTGCCGAAAGTACGTGAAATATTTTTTTTTCCCTCCCCGTTGTGTCGAAAACACCAGCGCGTGTTACTTTTTCCATAGCACACAGCGACCTAGTTTTTTTTATAAATCTGACGCTTTTTTATGCAGCTATTGAACAAACAATTCTTCGTAATTGTTTTGTTTTTTTATTTAAGTCTTATTTTGCTTTTAAAAAATCAAATATTTTTTTGCATAATTTCGCAAACAAAACAAGTCGCCAGCTCGCGTCTGGCAAAACATCGGTTTTTATTAATTTTTCGCTTTCAACTTAATTTTTTAGCTAATCTAGTTTTGATATTACGAGTTACAATCCGCATCAGAGGCAATCCCGCGCTAAAGAGCGCGAAATACATCATGAACGGTACGTTAGAATAAAAAAAAAAACAAAAAACAAAACTGCAACGAAACACAAAGGACTAGTTTGCACGGTCGACGAACTAAAAACAAACTATCTCTAATCTGAGCGCATGTAATCGCGGGCAAACTAATTTCGCAATAACGTCATCGGACCGACATCATCATCTAGCACGATAATAGTTAGTGCTCATTCGAGTTTCCGGAGGAAAATCAACGAGAACCACTCTCTCCTCTCGTCTCTGCTACCACATCGACTTGTCATTAGCCTCAATTTATAATTCCGCACTATTCCCGTTGCAGTCGTTTCCCGCGCTAATGCATTATGTTTTTTTTCTCTTTCCCCCTTCGCACAGCACCCGCGTCGTAACATGGATCTGGAAGAGAGAACGAACGATCCGCATATGTTTTCCTCCCGAGTCGAGTTTTGCGGAACATCTTCACGGCCGAGCGCGGAACCGTCGTTGTGCTCATCATCGCGCTTTTCTTCTGTCGCCGTCGTCATCATTATCATCATCGCCAGCATCGTTACCTTCGCTTTTGTCACACGGTCGCTTTTGCCACCATCGTCGTTCCCCATCGCTCTCTCACACGTTTTGCATATTCATCACTCGCGCGTACATCACGAAAACTCGCACGTGCCACGCGAAGAAAAAAAAAACACTTACATACTTGTATACAAGACACAGGATTGCGCGCGTGTTTCGCGATATTTGTGGTTCGCGCGACTTCGATGCAAAGTTTCTGTTCTCTCATATCCGTTATGAGAAACACGCGCGAGCTCATTAAAATTCCGTTCAACGTGCGCTGTCCTTATTCGCAAAACGTCACGATTGCTAATCGAGATTATGTCGAGCGCGAGTTGCAAACGTTTCGTCACGTTTGCTCGAGCAACCGATAACTTTTCCGCCGCGCGCGCAATCAAACAGTCGCCCACTGAAACGCAAACGACGGGCACAAAGTAACTGTCTCTCGGAATTCTGTAAATAATCGGCACGTCTCATCGCAACACACACACACAAATAAACAGACACACACACACACATACTCTCTCTCTCTCTCTGTCTTTGTTTCTACGCAAACGCCGATATCAAAATGCATCTTCTGTGTATAGAAATTGAATTTCATAATAAAAGCTTCTCTTCGATTACTGATAATTTGTTTTCGTTTAACAAACCTGTTTTTTCTCTTCCCATCCTTTTTTTTGTTAGAGAATTTCGTTTCGTTCTTTGTTTACTGTAATTTGTATCGCGCGTGACTCGATGGAAAAAAACAACGATCAAGCGAAACGCACGACTAGGAGAATTTTTCGTTTACGTTTTTGCGTCTAATAACAACATCTCGTCTTTAAAGCGCTCATTTATACGGTGTGTGTGTGTGTGTGTACGTGTGTGTGCACATACAAGATTTTATATTGCCCTCTCTGGACTATAATTCAATGCTTATTGCCGGCAGTTGCAGCAGGTTCCTCTTTGGGCACCGCTTGACAACCATTTGTTTATCGCTCGGTTACGTGTTTTCCTTCTCGCGCTTTTGTTTCTCGCGACACGGAAAAGACACATAATAGACGGCCTTTCATACACCGGAGTCTCTACATAGATCTTGTGCGTTCTGTTATATCGCGGAATCTTTGTTCATTCACGTGACGTTTCCCGTGCACGCGCACACACACACACACGCGCGCGCAATAATTTAAACTGTTCGCAATAAATTCAGCATCACGCGCACGCGCACACCGCGCGACAAAATGAATCACAAACGCGCGAATGAAGTCGAAATTTTTTGCGTGTACGCAATAACATCTCGATAGATTTTTCTAATTCTATTTTGCAAATTACTTACATACCTTGATCGATGATCTCCGGACGTTGCTGCAGCTTCTCGCGAAAAGCAAACACGTTGAACCATTTTTGAACACCTTGCGAAATTTGGAAGCGCCGCCGGAGTGTAACAGATGCGAAGGTTCGCGTACGTTCAGTCGCACGGGAAAATTGAATTCCAATGCCGGTCACACACACGTACACACAGAGACAGACAAGACCTTACGAGACGAGATAATCGGGCGAAATTTATTTAAAATTGCAAATTACCGCGGAGGCGTTTTAGCTTGTCGGCGCGTAGGAAATAATCGCGCGAGTCCGCTCCGTGAGAGATTGACAGGTTATGCCGGCGAGAGGGAGCGGCGGGCGCACAGGCGCGCACTCGACGTTTACTTCACAGCGATCGAGTCGCGACGCGCTTCAGTCGTGCTCCGACCTTCGACGTGGTGAGTTCGCTCGTTGTCTTCTTCCGAACGCCGGTGTCGCGCGCGCCGAGTTTCTCCGATCCAATCGTCGCGTAACGAGTGTTTGTTCGAATCGAGTGACGCACGGTCCTCAGTGATCTCATTTCGTACGTCGTGATTTGATTTGAATCCCGAGTCGAGTGCGAAAGGCCACGGCCATTACGTAAACGTCGTCGGACGCTTAAGTCGGAGGTCATCGTCGGTGGATGGTTTTTGCCGCCTCCCGAGAGAGCTGCCGACGCGAGATCGTCGTCTCAAGGACTTAAGCTCGGTAAGTACGACACGTCACACATACATACACACAAAGCGTAGCGCGAGAGAAACGAAGCCATTCACGCCGCTGGAATTAGAATCCCAGGTGAGGATCGTAAACTCGTTTGTTGTCGGCGCGGCGCGAATATTGCGCCATTTTCAAATTTGTGTTGATGCACTGCGCGATCACGTGATCGCGCGCGTTCTTTCCGTTTCACTAGGCGCGTTCGCGGTGAATTTGCCGCCAAACTATCAACTACCGACGCCGCACAACCTGCCGGGTATACGCAATATAAAGCGGCATATTTCATGAAAAACGTCCTCCCCCTTAAAGATAGAGCGCGTATTGATTTTGCCGGTCTTTTATAACCTCCGTGAAAGAAAGAAAAAACTATGGAGATAACAAAAATAACCGATCGAGCCGCGTCCAACGACGAATATCAGTTGTGTGCTCGCGCTTAATTTCATCCCGAACGCGAACTGTTGATTGCGAAAAATTGCGCGACCGTTCGCAAAGTCAACAAACAGGTGTCAACAAAAACAACACAGAGAATTTGCTAAAACTGTTTGTTGCACCGGTGTGTACGTATCTATTTGTTGCGTTTTCTCTCAACACATTTCCCGACGACGAGTTTCGCGCGATTATACACGTAGGTATGTTCATTTATAAATTTCCGCGTCCCCGGCGAACGCGCGGTACGTTCTAAGAACCGACGGTCAGCAATTTTTTTTTTTTTCGCCGCAAGTTTAGATGTAACATTGCTCATTTGAGCGTGGAAAAATTTTTTCATATTTCGCCGCGAATAGCAAATACACGCGCGCTCGAAAACCCTCGCCACTCTTTACATTTTCGATTGTAAATTTGCTGACGAGGGCTAGAATGGCGGCAAATAGAAACGCGCGTGTTTTATTTGCGTTGATGTTTCCAACGCGAATGACTGGTGAATTGAAGCCGGTGTATTACTCGAGAGTGGCTGAGACAGCCTTTTTTTTTTGGAAAAAAAAAAAAAAACCAGTTTTGAATGCCGTATTTCATCTACATCGTATTACCGCGAAATCGGTGACGTGTATATGTATCTCTGAATAGAGACATGTTTTCGCTGCTCGAAACACATCGCACTGTTTCCATCGAGCGTTTTATCATTTTTTTTTTTTTTTTTTTGTAATCAAAATTACATACGAGCCGGGCTATCGGGTTTGTACCTTGATTTTTATTGAGAGCTTTACTGAGATAATGTCGCTTGTTTGATTTTGATCGCGTTCTTTGTTTACTCGTCACATAAAATTTCCGTTTTGTTACGCTTGTGTTGAAAACACAAGGAGACAATAAGTTTTTATTCGATATATATATATATATATATATATATATATATATATATATATATTTAAGTCGCGCTCGATATAGATAGCTTTGCGTCACGAAACAAATTCCGGAGAGATAATGCGGAAAAGTGGAGCAGTAACAAGCGTTTGGAGCTGTGACTATTTCGTGTGATGACGATTTGTGTGTAATATCTGATCTTTTTTTTTTATCCGTAAAAATAATATCGAAAAGTCGCGTGTAACGTGACGAGAACGTCACCTGATGTTTGAGGATCCAAACGTCTCGGGATCTGATTGCGCGCGTGCTCGTTTTAACAATGCGGGGAAAAAAAAGAGATTAGAGGGCGGAAAGAGATGGAGGAGAGAAAAATTCCGTTAGGTCTTAGTCGTATCGATTGGAGTCGCGTGAAGAGAAAGAAAGTGAGAAAAAAAAAAAAACGATAAGTACGCGATTCAGAAAACAAAGTAATAAACTGTCGACCAGAGATAAATAGTTTCGAACGTTTCCCTTCTTCTGGAAAATTGAAACATTTGAGAGGCGAGGAGCGGGCGCGGTGTTTGACGAAATTAGCGTGCTTGTTACGCAAATTATGTATTTGTAAGAGAATTGAGTTACACGCCCTTGAGTAATTTTATCGTCGAGCTTGTAAACTAAAATACACACACACACACACACACATACATCCCTCGAGTATTCTGTGCTCCGTCGAGACATCGAAACAACGCCCGTGCGAGTGTCGGAGCTACACATTGAACAGGCTTTCGCGCTAAAGCGACGTTTGTGCAACACCAGCTCCACATGTCTCTCTTTCTCTCTCTCTCCACTTCTCTCCCCTAGGATATTGCGTGTCGGTCGAGTACGCGGCACAATTCCGAGGTTTATTCCAGAGTCTCTCCCGGAGTTGCTTTCCCGCGCGACGGCCTTGCTCTCCTTCAGTAATATCTGTTATTCGGTTCCGCGAACTCGGAAGTTGCCGCGAACGTTGACGGGATTTATCTCTTTCTCGGCCGAAGTTGCCGAAGAGAAATAAGGTGTGAGAGAGAGAGAGAGAGAGGGAGAGATAGAGAGATCCTTCCGGTCGACGTGCTGCTCGTCGGAGCGATATGTGGGAGCCGAGGTTCAAACTCCGGGGGTCTTGTGAGAAAGAGCTTAGACGTCTCT